CTTCCAAGGGAAGTGGTGCTGGCTCCTACCCTGGGGGTCTTTAAGAAGCAGCTCGATGCCTACATGGCTGGGGTCACTTGAGCCCAGTTTTCCTCCTCCCCAGGCAGGGGGTTGGATTTGAAGATCTACAAGGTCCCTTCCGACCGTACTTCTATGATTCTATGATTTAAAGGTGTGATGGGATTTGATCTCCGATCCCAACATTCATGCCTCGTGCCATGACACATGCATGGCAGGATATGGGTGTTTGAGATTGGGACCAGACCCTAATTGTGCCCTGCTTGCCAGGGAGCCTGGTATCATGATCCTGGGCTTCCCCTGTACAATGATCAGCTGATTGTCAGCTGGCAGGGACTGCCATGGCTAGATTGAACCCCAGTGTGGTCCTGATGCTGCCAGTGATCAGCTGATTATCATCTGGCGGGGGCTGTATTGGGGCCAGTTGGAGACCCTGATGCAGTCCACCCTGTCACACATTCATTTTAAGGTATGATGGGAACCAGCCACAAAATTAGTTACACATTTTTTGTGTAATAATTTTCTGACTGGTGTCATGTTTTATTGCACCATAAATTGCTTTAATATGTGACTGTGTTACACTTTAAGATGCGATTGCCTTTGATTGTGATAGCCTCTAATGGTCTTGAAAAGACTAGCAGGTTTCATAACCAGTTACAAAACCACACTTTTTCTTTGGTGTTTGTTTGTTTTTAAAAGAAATCAAATTGGGCAGTGGAAAGTGGTGTTCTGTTGCTACACAGTTGTGTTCTCTCCGAGAAGCTCCTTCGTTTCACATCTGTACAACTTGTTTTTCTGTTTTTGAAGAAGATCCCATTACCTTGCCAAGTGTGCTGATTTATTGGTGTACTATTGACTGTGTGCACTTGAACCATGTGATCTGATCTTGTGATGAACAGCTATTCAAACACCTGATCCATTGCAGAGGACAGTGGCTTTCCAAACACTGAAAAGGTGCCTCTCGAACCTTTTCAGTAAAATCCATTATGGTAAAAAGTCTTTCAGGTTACTAAATCTTAAATGTTCTTCTTCTCTATAGGTAGATAAGATAGGGAGAGGTTATCAAGGAGATCCATCTTCAGCCCTTCTAGAACTGCTGGACCCAGAACAGAACTCCAATTTCTTGGATCATTACCTTGATGTTCCAGTGGATTTGTCAAAGGTATTTTTCCACTTTGTATTGTGAAGATGGAAGCTTACAGGTCTTATTCAGAAATACCCTAGCTATTCAAACTGGTACTTCAGAGAACAAAATAAGGGAATGTATATCATCCTGTTTCTTAGGAAGATGTGATCAGGACGCATAGTGTTCCATATCAACCTCTGACAGGGGCCAATTGCAAGCCTAAACCAGTATGCATTTTACAGAAAGCATTCCATCTAGCTAGGTACATCTCATCCATAGTATTCACACATGTAAGATGTCCTAGGAGCCTACTCAGTCTCTGTCAGTTATGGACCTAATGGAGCACAGAATACTGCTTTCTTTTCATCAAGAAAGCAGTATTCTCATGCTTATGTTATCTAATGCAAGTAAAGTGACCTAATGCAGGGCATTGCAAGTACCTTTCAGACTTCTGGCCTTGGATAGCTCTATGGTGTTGTATCCTACCCCCGGCTCAAGTAATACTGCATGTGGGGCCAGTATACTTGCTCAAAGGATCCATATTTGAATTATCTGACTGCTGCTCTCAGGTCTTGGCATCTGGGGGTATCTAGAAGGAGATGTCAGGAAGTTTTCCATGCCCTGTTACAGGGGGTTCCTATTCTCAAGTTCTAGAAGCAGACCGTTTTTCCCGTACACCTGTTCAACTATTCTGAATTCCTAGTGTGTGCTGTGTACCTGGCTAAACATTAATTTAAGGAGAAAAGGTAACCTTATTCTACAGCTCTGGAATCTAAAGTCTTTTCTCTATAGTTAGAAGCTAGAACACAGAGGGAGAAGTCACATTATAATTGGAGAACCACAGAACTGAGATAGTAAACACTCATAGAATGAAGTGAAGTGGCATGTTAGTGAGAAACACCTAACTTGGTTTGTAATCTTCAGGTGCTTTTTATTTGTACCGCCAATGTAACTGAAACCATTCCAGAGCCACTGAGGGACAGAATGGAAATAATCAACGTATCGGGATATGTTGCAGAAGAGAAAATTGCCATTGCAGAGGTGAGAGAAGCTACATTGCAAATGAGCCTTTTGCAGCTCCCTGTCCTTGAACTGCATCAGATGAAGGAAAATATTTTGGAGAGTAAAGCTGTATGCTTACGCTCAGCAAGCATGCTCAAAGAAACACTACCATGCAAAACAGACCCAATATATGATCTGCTTTCCCAACTCCATTATGGGCAGGTCCTGGTTATATTTTGGCTTTAGAAAATGAGCATGGGGCTAATGGCAGAATGAAGCTTAATTAATTGAATCGATCAAGTTTTAAGCTGTGAACAACAATAAGAATATGTAATGGCTTTTTTTTTTCAGAGATACTTGGTCCCTCAAGCACGTGTCCTATGTGGTTTAGATGAAAGCAAGGCCAAGATAACATCAGATGTGTTGACAGTTCTTATCAAGCAGTACTGTAGAGAAAGTGGAGTGAGAAATCTGCAGAAGCAGGTGGAAAAGGTGAGGGGACATTGTGTATAAAGACCACTGTTTTGTGCTGTCAGCTTTGGCATCTCTTGCTAGAGTAGCTAACTCTTGTCTTGCACAGGTATTAAGGAAATCTGCTTATAAAATTGTCAGTGGAGAAGCAGACACAGTTGAAGTAACACCTGAAAACTTGCAGGACTTTGTTGGAAAGCCTGTCTTCACCGTGGATCGAATGTATGATACCACTCCTCCTGGAGTAGTGATGGGTCTGGCCTGGACAGCTATGGGTAAGATGTAGCAGATACAGTAGTTACTAACAAGGTTCTCATGTATCATGGATTGTTGTGCATCCAGGAGAAGCTGACTGCATTTTGTCCTGGTAAGGCAAAGTTACTAGATCTGAAAGTTGAGTAGCAACTGTGGAGCTGGAATAGTTCTCTGAATTTGGGACATAGCCATGTAGGTGAGGAAATGGAACACCTCCACCAGGTCCAAGGTGGGAACTTATTTAACATTAGTAAAACTTTGCTCCTGTATTCTGACTTGCTTTTGATCAAAAATTGATGGTCACTCCTTTCCTCTGGTAAGGATTCAGATTAGGGTGCATTCTCTCTGAGGCTCTGTATTGTGTGTGAACTGTGTATTATTGTGAGCATAAAGGTTATTTGTAAGCATAAACCTGTAGCAGCCTCTAGCTTGTCTTCTGCCTTGGTGTACAGTACTGATGTGGTAAGCAGTGCAGTGGGTCTGTTTCACCAGAGACCTGGCTTTCCGTTTAGAATGAAAATATATTTTTACTGACCCTCTGAGCTCAGGTGTTCTATAAAGGGTGTGGTGCAGATTTTTAGCGCCACGTCAGTTGTGACTTCAACATAAATTGGTTTAGATATTTGGTGGACACAGAGCTACAGATGTAAACTGGGGTATTTTTAGTAGCTGACCTACATTTGCCCATTAGTTAAATTTCCTCGAAGGGCCAGGTGGCTTTGCAGAATACAAGTAGTAATGTCTTCAGGATGGTGGCTAAATGTATTTATTTTATTATACACTGTCTTTTCCAGAAAAGGCTCAGGGCAACTTGCAATAAAAAGACAAAAAAACCCTTAAAAACAAAACTATTAAAATAAGAAAATGTGCTCATTTCAATTACATTACAAAACAGGGTTGCTAAAGTTGCCCAAAAACTTGAGGAAGATGCAGTAACCACTTTCAGATAGGCTCAACTAGGGCTAGTGTTAGTTCAAAGCATTTGGAGACTGTAAGAGTAACTGTGTGTAGTCATCTAATCTTATTCTTGTTGGTTTCAAATGCTTTGATGGCACAGCTATAGATATTTGCATTGGGTAGGAGTTGCAAGTAGTGGTAGTTTATTGGTCTAAATGAGCTACTAACTGGAGAATGTTAGTAATTTGCCAGTGTGATTTCAAACTAACCTACCCAAGAGAATTTAGAGCTCAGACTTTAAATAATCTTTGTGCCAGTGTTACTGATGTCTTGCCAAAGACCTATTAACTAGAGCTTGGGGTTTGAATGGGCCCTGGTTCACTGTAAACCGCTTTAAATTGCTAGCATGCTTAATCCTCTTTTGCTTCTGATCATGTTTCATAGGAGGTTCCACTCTGTTTATTGAAACATCCTTACGGCGACCCAAAGACATGGAAAATAAGGATGGATCTCTCGAAGTAACAGGCCAGCTGGGAGACGTGATGAAAGAGAGTGCCAAAATAGCTTACACTTTTGCACGATTTTTCCTGATGCAGAAGGAGCCTGGCAATGATTTTCTTGTCACCTCCCATATCCATTTGCACGTGCCAGAGGTAAAGTGAGCCAAGAGGCCCAATTCCTTAGGAGTTGTCTAAGAGCCTAGACAAACAGCTTGAGAGAGAAACAGACATGCCAGGTTTGTTGGGTTAGAGAGGGCTCAGTCCAGTCATCCTTATTGTGCAGATAGTTTGCCTTCAGCAGGAGACCCA